GGATCCTTCGTGTTGGCTATACCACCATATGCATATGTTAGCATATATATATATATATATATATATATATAAATATACATATATGTATATATAATATATGTATATATATATATATGTATATGTATATATGTGTATATGTATATATGTATATATGTATGTATATATGTATGTATGTATGTATGTATGTATGTATGGTATGTATGGTATGTGTGGTATGTATGGTATGTATGGTATGTATGGTATGTATGGTATGTATGTATGTATGGTATATGTATGTATGGTATGTATGGTATGTATGGTATGTATGGTATGTATGGTATGTACGCTATGTATGGTATTTATGGTGTGTATGGTATGTATGGTATGTATGGTATGTATGGTATGTATGGTATATATGGTATGTATGGTATGTATGGTATGTACGGTATTTATGGTATGTATGGTATGTATGGTGTGTATGGTATGTATGGTATGTATGGTCTGTATGGTATGTATGGTATGTGTTGTATGTATGGTATGTATGGTATGTATGGGATGTATGGTATGTATGGGATGTATGGTATGTATAGTGGTATGGCATGTATGGTATGTAGTGTATGTAGTGTATGTAGTGTGCGTAGTGTATGTAGTGTACGTAGTGTATGTAGTGTATGTAGTGTATGTAGTGTATGTAGTGTGTGTAGTGTGTGTAGTGTGTGTGTGTGTGTGTGTGTGTGTGTGTGTGTGTGCGTGTGATATATATATATTTATATATATATACTGTACAATCAATAACTCTATATATCCTCTACGTATGTATAGAGATATGACTAAAATAAACTATCTTTGCCATGAGAGTGGTCCGTGAATTTAGACCTCAGAAATACTACACTTCAAGTTTCGCCCCGGTTTTGTGAAAGGTATGTGTTTGGTATGTCTCGTGTATAATTATATCCCTGCGCCCTGGCGATAGTCCATCATACAAGTATGTCACACCCTCTTAAACGGTATTTCCTCAGCCCCGTACCTTTATAATACGCCGACTTAACCCAGCCATGATGTGCTAGTTCCAAGATCTCTGTGCTACTACTACTCACTGACCCTCAGCAGCCCCACGCTAAGATTTAAATATGTAAGAGATACAAGCGTGTTCAGTTTAGGAGGCTATAGTATATTTTTATTTTTAAAAGCTTTTACACAGATGTATTTAACCTTTGCCCGTTATTGTTATTACGTACATACTCGACCTCAGCACATACATATATACTGAATGTTGTCGGCCTGCCGCCAAAACAGACTGTACCGAACAGCCGAGAGCTCCATAAAGATTTGCTGATAACATTCTAAATATAGCAGCCGATAAATAGGCGACTTGACATATTTAAATCATATCGTCAGACTGACATCAGTCAAGCAATCTATATAAATATACTGTACGCAGCAACGCCGACATTAATACTATAGGTATGCTTTAGACCCTCGGACACCGTACACTACTACTAGTAGTAAATAAATGAATATAACTAGAGTTCAGTTGTATCTGCAAGTGTCCATATCAGCACCAACAACTCCAACCGGTGATAAGGTAGCATGCATTGGTAGTGCACTATATTGCTACACTCTGATAGCATGGCATTGAACTAGAATTATGATCCAGCTATCTTCCATCTAAGCCTAGGTTTTTAAACAACATCGAACATAAGGAAACAGTACAGCTACAGCTTTTGATTTCAAATATAAATCATGAAGTCAATACGCAAATCCATAACGAAGACTGTGTCCAACAGTGGGTTGAATACACTCAAGTCTAAAGAAAAGCTGAATCAAAGCGGCAGTAAAGACACTCTACCCACTCATGTAGGCAATATGGATGCACAGAATTCACCCCCGCCAAGACCCCCCAAACCCCCCCCCAAAGCGTCGACCGAAGCAACCTCATCGCACACTCCATATAACACACGCTCTGAGCATGTGCCGTCGGTTGCCGGCTCAGTGAAAGGGTCAGTCAAAGGTAAGTAAGAGTTTGCTCGTTGTGTTGCATGAGTGTGTGAGTATTTAAGTATACAGCATTGTTCAGTATGTTTGTCGAAAATTGAGTGTGTTTTCCGTCGGAAGTGATCTGCAGATCAGATGCGAAGACGCGACTCGTTTTGGATATGCAAATGCCCGACAACCAGATGAAATTAATAAACAACTCATAACGTATGTGATGATTTATGTCTTAGTTGTGCTCCAAAGTTTGAGCCGACATTCGCAACATTGATTGTACTTATTTATACTACCATTATTTTTCCGATTTGGCGAATGTTTATTAAACAATACTATTTAAAACACATGCACGTGTTATAAATGTTTCTTCTGTATACATTTCCAATACATATATATATATATATATATATATATATATATATATATATATATATATATATATATATATATATACATATATATACATATATATATATATATATATGTATGTATACATATAATACTCCCATATGTATATATATATATATATATGTGTATGTATATATGCATATATAAATATATATATATATTTATATGTATATATATATATATATATATGTATATGTACGTATGTACCATATAGTATTCATATGTATACACATATAATACCTATATATACGGATATATGCATGTATTTATATAAGTGCGCGTATATGTATATATTTATGTATGAATACATGTCTATATGCATGTACGTTTTTTTTGGGATATTATGCATTTGACACCGTGTGTGTATGTATGTATGCATATATGTATGTATTTATGTATACATATATATATATATATATATATAAATATGTGGTGTCGGGTGTGT